ACATATCTGCCCTTGGTGTTTACATCATAACTGCTAACAAATAACAAACAATATAAAACTGAAACTAGAAATAACAAAATAGCAAAATAACCACAGYTGTGACTAGATACATTCTACCCTACGGACAGAGTGGGACCACAGCTGTGGGGCCCACATCAATGTTCTCTACAAATATCTCTTTCTTTAAATCATTTTGGAATACTATTAAAAATGATGTAATAGTTTATCGAGTTTTGTAAAGAAAAGTTAATTGAGAAGAGTGCAAATGCTACTTTTATATCTCTCATTCCCAACGTGGAAGGAGCTTTTAGAGTGAGGGATTTTAGGTCAATAAGCTGAATCACAAGCCCATATAAAATTGTAGCAAAGTTCTCCCAAGAAGATTAAGATCGGTTTTCCATGAGATAGTGTGTCCTACTCAGGTGGCTTTTGTGGAGGGGAGACAAATCTTGGATGGTGTGATAATTGCAAGTGTATTGATGCAAGAATAAGAAATGGAAGGGAAGGGGTGAATTGTAAAATCGATACTGAGAAGGCATATGATCATGTGGAGTGGGGTTTCTTGGAGGAGGTGTTAGAAAGAATGGAGTTTGGGGAAAATGGAGGAGGTTGATTTTTGCTTGTATTTCTACAGTCTCTTTTTCATTGCTGGTGAATCAGGTGTTAATAGATTTCTTCCAGGCTTCAAGAGGAATAAAACAAGGGGATCCTCTTTGTCCTATGGGGTTTGTGTATGGAAGGGCATTATGAGCTTTCATGCAGCATTTATAAATTATGTTTCTTTTAAAGTTGGGGATGGAACAAATATAAGGTTTTGGGAAGATGATTGCTTGGGGTTTCGGGAGGTTTTGTGAGTTATGTCCAAGGCTTTATAGGTTGATCAGGAAAAATGTGTCTATTGCTGAATGCTATGAAGTGATTCAGGGTGCAGTGGTTTGATGCCCAATGTTTAGAAGACTATTACTAGATTGGGAAGTGGAGGAATGTCTGAGATTGCTTATCTAGGTTGTAGTAATAAGTCCACTGGATAGAAATAAAAGATAACTAGGTCCAAGGCCCACTAACAGCTCAATAACTGATAAGAAAAGACAACCCAATAAAGAGACAAATAAAACAGTAATAACATGTAATAACAGTCTGCAGTAGTTTTATCATTTTCTTTTTCTTGTTTTAAAGCTAACCTTCTGCTTTGCCCATGCTCTTTTGCAATTGTTGTGTACTTGTATGTTGTTTCTTACTTAATATTATTGTTTCTTATCCAAGCAGTGGTGTATCTTTACAACAATCTAAGAAGGATGGTAGTATCAATAAAGTGGCAGGGAAGAAGAAGAACAATGAGAAATATGCCACCCAACAGGAAGAGAAGTAAGTTATCTGATCTTCATTTTCTTGTGTTTAGCCTCTCCACTTCGAACATATATATATATATATATATATATATATATGCATACGTGTATTATGATTTCATGTTAATGACATTAATAGGTCTCATTCGATTGATACAGAGTAGATGACGGCAATGCTTTCTCACTACCATCCAATGAGGATGCTGACATGGAGAAAGATAAGAAAAAAAGAAGGAAAAAGAAACAAGTTGCCGAGCAGAGTCAGAATATTATTAATGATGGGGCAAACCAATATGAGCAATTGGAGACAAAGGTTAAAACCATGAACCAAGAGCATGCTATTGGATATGAATCATATGAGAAACCCACTAATGGGTAAGGACTTGTTTCTCTTTTTTATGCTTTGTTTCGAAGATAATTAAGATGATTTTTCTATACACTTTGCATATGTTATTTATGTACATATTTATTTAGGTGACTTGATACTAATAAACAAGTCTGGTTTCACATGTGAGAAACAGAAAAAAATAGAAGATAAAGGATCATTGTGATATGATTTGCCCCTCTTCAAAAATGTGACTTACCATTTGTAGTACAAATCTGATACGATAACAGGAATTGCAAGAAGGGGAAGATTTAGAATAGGGAGATCAAGTAAACAGCTCCAGCAAGGGTAGGGGGAGATCAAAGGCACTAAGGAAATTAAACAAGAATTGAATGAAAAAAACTAACTAAAATCAATAATAGAAGGAAGAACACACACCAAAAGAAGGTGGTGAGTAGGGGATTCTCTAAGAACAGAGATTATGGTTGTGACAGAGCATGCGATGGGCAAGAGACATGAACATGAGTAGATTAATCATTGAAGGTGATTCAAAGGTAGTGATTGGGTGGTTGCAAGATTCAAAATATCGATATACCCCGAGGTGGGAGTGGTGTATTTGTACTTTGAACCTAACATTCACCATTTTTATTGTTTTTTTCCTTTTAAATTCAGGAGAGGGGTGGGAATAATGTTGTTTGACGATTAAAATAATTGTTTCTTAAAAAAACCTTAAAAGCAACGTATTGGTAACTGGTCAATGCAATGTATTGGCCAATACAGTCTGATACATTGCGAAATTTTGATCCTTGGGTGGTTATCAAATAATGAGAGCTATATATCAAGAAGTTTAAATGTTTGACTGGGAACACTCTAGTAAAAAAAGGTCAACCAATTACATGGCTGATGCATTAGCAAAACAAAGGGTGGGTAGAAATCAGTTGTATTGGGGTTAAAGTGTAAGTAAAATAAAAGGGGAGAGGTAGTAGTGACCATCCTTTATAAAGTATGTATATAAGCTTTAAATCTAATCATTATCAACATTTTCATTATCATCAGTCTTGTTGTTGTTTGTGAGAACAGAATTGAGAAGAACATTCGTAGGCATGAACATCTTGTCCATCTTTTTACAAATTTAACTCTTAAATAAAAGGACTAAATTACCCTCGCTACTAGTACACCAATAAAACTGTAAAAGAAACTAAAACAGTCAGCATTCTTCTGCCCCCTTTCTTTTCCTTTTATGGGAAAAACAGGGGATCTGCCTCTTATCTTTTTCATTTCTTTCTTCCCTTTCACCTTTGTTTTTTATTTGCATATCAGAAGCCCTAATAAAAATGGTGAATAAGGCGGTGGAGGGAGGCTTCCTTGAAGGTTTCAAGGTGGGAGAGGAAGTTGAGGTAGCCTTGCTGCAGCAAGCGGATTAATGCTTTAATACTTGGGCCGAAATGAAAACCGAAATGCTCTTTGGGTCATGGTTTTATCAGTTAACTAGGTGGCTTGCCTGTCCAACTGCCAAAACCGTCCGGTCCGGGCAAAGTCTTAAAACACTGATGTGGATGATACTCTTTTCTTTGCCAATGCCTCTCAAGAACATAATGAAACAATTAGTATGATTCTAATTTGGTTTGAAGTGGTCTTTGGACTTAAAGTCAATTAACATGCATAAAAGTGAATAATTGGCAGTGGGGGATTGTCATAATTTAGACATGTTGGCGGGTATAGTGGGTTGCAAAGTTGGGAAATTGCTGACAATGCATTTGGGAATGCCACTTGGAGAGAAATGCATATGCTTCCTGGAAATCAAGATATTTGTCTTAGGGTGGAAAACTAACACTTTTTTTTATGATAATCTACAAAAACTTGCCATTCAGGAGTGTTGAAGATTAATTAGTTTTATGATGTTTTTTTGAGTAGATGTTTTATGTTAGTTGTTAGATAGGAGGTGGGGACCACAGTTTATGTGAGTCCAAATTTTATTATGTTTTTTGAGTGTTATATATGCTGTTATATGTTTTGCCGCCCTATAAGGGCATAGTTGTCTTTGTACTGTTCTATTATTTTAGTATAAATAATAAGTGAAGGGGGGCGGTTAGATTATTGCTCTCTTTTCTTTCAACTTCTCTTCTTCTCTTCCTCTCCTTCTCTCCTCTCTTCAAGAAACTACTTTCTTTCATATTTTTTAATTCAGCAGACTTCTACTAGGTATCAGAGCATCGGCTAGGGTTTCTTGAAGCATTCTCATTTAGCCCTAGATCAGTTGACTGCATGAAGTAGTAAAGGGCTGATAGATTTGCTATAGATTGTCCAATTCTTGGAGTTTTTGGTGGGATCTAGACATCAGGAAGGTGATCTA